AGCGTTTGGCAAATAGGTATTGAGTATCGTATGCATCTGACAATGTTGAAGGTATAGGGGATTCAGAGGTGAGCAAATCAACCTGTACTCATGGAACTCACTTTCTGGGGGGCAACTGGGGTGGGAGAGGAGACAGAAAATGAAAAGGCAGCTATGAATTTTAAAAATTACTTCCAGAGAGTGATAAGTACTTTGAAAAAAGTAAAGATAACAGGCTGGAGAGTTCAGACGTGGTTTACTTTTTACACCTCTGAGGATGTCACATGTGATTTGAGACCCAAATAATGGCAAGGATGCAGCCATATGAAGATCTGGGGGACCAGTGTTATTCAGCTGAAAGGACCAGCAAGTTCAAAGGTCCTGGGGCAGAAATGATCTTAGCAAGTTTAGGAACAGATAGAAGGTTTTGTCTTCTAGGCTCACTTGGAGAGGAGGGGACAAAGCCTTCTAGGCAGACCCCTCAGGTTTCACAAAATGATGTGAGTTACCTCGTGGCTTAGATGATGGAGTATACAGCAAGGCACTTTACTGGCCATACAGACTGATACCTGCCCTTCTGAGGCTGTCCCCAGACTCTGGCCACTTCTCCTTCTCCTGGTGCCTGCTTCCCAGCCCGTCCCTCTGGCTGACCTACATTCTGGGCTTTTCTCAGATGTGGAGCTCTGGATTGGGCCTCCTCAGCCTCTGTGGGCCTTTGTCTCTAGGAATGTTCACCTCTCAGGCAAGGGAAGGTAGGGCCTGGAAGCCACCTTGCTTTGTGGACTTGCCTTCCTGGGGTGAGTCCTGGCCACGGTTATTTCATTCATTCATTCAGAAACTGCCAATTTCAAAAGCATCTCCTGCCAGGCTTTTATGTTTCAAACACTTTCTTTGCTGTGATTTTCTCTAGTTATTCAATCAATTATCTTTTTTTATGAATCATGCTTTTTTATGTGCTCTGCCTTTTTCTCTAATCCTTTCATGACTCTGAGGAACTTAGGGGCATTCAGGGTACAGTCCCCCCACTCCCTGCAGCCAGCCCCCAGAACTGGAGGCCCCAGGCTGGCACCCTCCTCCCGCCCCAACTCCTGAGGCCCTGGTGCCAGGTCTCTTTCCTGGAGTCAGGAATCCTTAGCTGCATGCACTAGCCCTGCTTTCCGAGGCCCCAGGATGCCTGCCCACCTGCCTTCCGGGTGGGAGGTGAGGACTCACCTAGGGACAGTGTTAAGGACGTGACCTACAGGGACTCATGTCCACTCGACAGTCACCTCCGCCCAGACAGGCCCTCAGTGCGGGGTGGTGACCCTGCTCCCTTGTCCCAGATCTCAGATCTCACACCCTCTCTCACGGTCCCGCAGAGAGGGGCCAGGCCTGTGCCCTCCAGCCTCCACAGGGCCTCATCAGCCTAGAAGTCCCCCTGCTCTCCACAGCTGTGGGAGAAACACGATTCCTCCTTGTGCAGCACTGGCTGGGGTCCTCGGTGGACCCTTGGGGCCAGAGGACTCTCCACAGCCATACGCCCTCCCCCACTGCTCACAGACAAGCCAGTTACTGGCCACAGCTGCCCTGGCTGCTCCGGGCCCAGAGGAGGATTCTGCCTGGCGTGAACTTTCTGGGCAGGAAGCTGGGGAGCCTCTGTTGAGAAGGCCGGGTACTTGGGGGTCAGAGGCCAAGGTCACTGACCTCCCTGAGTTCCCCCTCTGCCCCTGCTCAGGCCAAGTCCAGCCAGTGTTCAAAGCTCACAGGTGGGTGCCCCTGACGGGAGACTCTGGGCTCCCAGCTTGGCCATGGTGGGCAGGTGGAGGAAGAGGTCTGGGTGGGACACTCCAGCTCTCAGACTCCACAGCATCTTCTGCATCTGCTGCAGGCCCCGAGGGCCTGGCCACCCTGTGCCAGTGAGTTCGCCTTCCTTCTCTCCCTAATGCCTGGAGGGCAGGAAGCTGGTGCGTCCTCATCTAAGTGCTTAATCACCGCAGAGCTTTGGGCCAAGCTTCACGAACGAAGGGCCCAGCCTTGGAGAAGTACACGGTCCCATTATGGCCCCCCTTTAATAGACTTCCAGGGGGCCTGTGGTGGGGCCGGGTGGTGGACGGGGTGGGGGAAGGGAGTGAATACCATTCTCCATCGTGATGTGAAATACTGGTATCAGCGTGGGTGAGGATGCTCGGAAATGATGAGGCAGTTGGGAAACTCTTTTACGCTTCTTTATGGCGTTCGATGGACTGTTTAAGAATGAATGTTCTTGGGAAACAGGATACATGTGTGATAAAGATAAGTGTGCGGACACCAGGAGAATAACAGGAATCTGAGAGCCCTGGAAGGAGCCTGGTTCACAGTGTCCACCATCACCCAAGGGACCAAAGTGCCAAATGCCACAGGGGACTGTCCTACCAAGACCTTGGGTTGTGAGTCTGGATGGGAGAACCCAGACTCTGGGAAATGTACTGCCGGGAGAAAGGGAATGGATGGGAAGACAAAAGCTTCCATGGGTAGAGAGTGGGGTTTCCAGAAAGTCAGGAAGATTTGATAAGGCAGGGGTCAGAGGATGGAGGTGCTCTGGCCAAGGGGTGGACTTGGAAGTTGGGAAGCAGGGTTAATAGCCGAGGGCCACCCGGGAGGGAATCTCTCTGAGATCATGATTCTCTGGGGGCTTTCTTCCTCATGGACCGTGGAATAGCTCTACACAGTGAGTGTTATCAAATGCCTTCCCTCACAGGTTGTCACCTCCTAGGCTTCTCTCAACCTCTCGTAAAGCCTCTTACAGCCAGCCCACCTGCATGGTGAAGTGTGGAAAGAAATGAGGTTGGCACTGCTGGAGGGAGATGAGCTCTGGCTGTTCATCTGGCCTCTGGCTAGATAACCAATGCTCACATGGTCCTGGATGCAGTTAGCAGCAGAGAGAGCTATGGTCCTAGGAGCAGTGAACAACAGTGGATGTTGTGGAAGTTGCTTACTAGAAGGTATGTAGTTCCACAGAAATCCCCAGCACCTAAACAATACTCAGCACACAGCAGTGATTCAATAAATGCCTGAATGATACTTTGTAGGCTATCCTCACCAAATATATATGAATGCCCATGAAAATGAAAAGTGTACATGTGCATAAAAAGTGCTTGGAATCAGTAATTACCAGAGAAATGCAAATTAAAACCATAATAAGATACTATTACATACCTATTAGAATGGCTAAAATTAAAAAGACTGTCACATCAGGTGTTGCCAGGGGATATGGAGCAACTGGGAATCCCATACGTTGCTAGTGGAAATGAAAACTGATGCAGCCACTTTAAAAACAGTATGGTTATATCTTGTAAAGTTAAGCATATTCTTACCATATGATCCAGCAATCCTATTTCTAGGTATTTATCCAAGAGAAATGAAAATTTATGTTCATACAAAGACCTGTATGTGAATGGTCTTAGTAGTGTTATTCATAAATAATGAGAAATAAAAGCAACTCAAATATCCATCAACTGTTGAACAGATAACCAAATTGTACTACGGAATACTACTCAGCTGCAAAAAGGAATACGGATGAATCTCTAAACATTATAAAGGAAAGAATTAAACACATAAGACTATGTACTGTATGATTCCATTTATATGGAACTCTAGGAAAGGCATGGTTATAATGACAGTTGCAGTTGCCTGGGGCTGGGGTGGGGGAGGAGATGAACTGCAGATGAGCAGGGGAAAATATTTTAGGGTACAGGAACTGTTCTGTATCTTGATTGTGGTGGTGATGGTAGCATAATTGTGTAAAATTACCAAAACGCATCAGGCTGTACACTTAAAAAATGGGTGAATTTTATTGAATGTCAATAATCAGGGGCTTCCCTGGTGGTCCAGTGGTAAAGAATCCGCCTTCCAATGAAGGGGACATGGGTGCAATCCCTGGTCGGGGAACTAAGATCCCACATGCTGCGGGTCAACTAAGCCTGAGCGCCGCTACCGCCAACTAGGCCTCGCGCCTCAATTAGAGAGCCCGCGTGCCGCAAAGTACAGAGCCCCTGCGCTCTGGAGCCCAGGCCACAATTAGAGAAGAGAAAACCCGCACGCACGCCACAACTAGAGAGAAGCCCGCGCGCCGCAAGGAGCGCCACAACGATAGATGCCACATACCGCCAACGAAGATTCTGCGTGCTGCAACAAAGACCTGACGTAGCCAAATAAATATTTTAAAAAGTCAAATATAAATTTTAAGTTAAAAACTCCACATCCAGATACATCTCGAGCAAAGAACACATAAAGAATGGAGCGCATTGAAAATGGTAGAAATGAATGTAAATAAAAATTATAAAGGTATCCAATAGAAGAACTAAAAACAGACCACAAAGCTTCAAAATTGATAGAAGGATCTGCAGTGAGCCTGTGCGTGGTGGATGGAAGACAGATGGGACAGAACCACAGACACCTGGTAGAACAACAAGGGAGAGGCTTCATCCTGGTTACAAAGCCCTGAAGCATCGTTTGGTCCTCATCTCCCTGGGAGTTAGGGAGGCTGGCACATATTATCCCTGCTTTATAGGAACAGAAACATAGCCTCAGAGAAAAGGAGTTACTCTTCCAAGAAGCCATATTAAGTAACAACAGGATAACGTATGTGTCTTTCGAGATCACTTAGTCCATGTTCCCCTGAAATGAATCTTGGAAGCTGTGTTGCTGCTATCCAGTCCTCGGGAGGGCTCTTCTAACGCGGGGCGAACAGCTTTTTCCCGAGGCTGCTGAGCGTTGGAGGGGCTCGACGCTGTCACCGGGCAGGACGCTGAGGCAGCCCCACCGCAGACGCCGCCCGCGTGCGCGCGCAGCCGGACAGGGGCCGGGGCGCCGCCGCGGGTCCGTTGCTAAGGCCGCGCGGCCCGGCCGCGGCCCCGCGCACGCGCCTTGGCGGACTCCGGTGCACTGTGGGATGGAAACTCGAGCGGCGCGTCTAGGCAGGACCTGGTGGCGGCGGCGGGGCCGGCGGCGGCTGGGGAGCGGGGTTTAGGCTCGGCGGCCGGCGAGACGCGGGCGGCGCCGCCATGAACGCGGCGGTGGTGAAGCGGACGCAGGAGGCTCTGGGGAAGGTGATTCGGAGGCCGCCGCTGACGGAGAAGCTGCTGAACAAGCCCCCGTTCCGCTACCTGCACGACATCATCACTGAGGTGAGCGCCGGGCCGGGGCGGAGGTCGGGGTGCAGGCCGGGGTTCGTCGGGGTCGGGGCCGGGGTCCCGGTGCGCTGTCTGGGTGCAGGCCGGGGGTCAGGGCCCTTTTGGGGGTCGGGGTGAGGGCCGGGATGCGGGTCGGGGGTCACTGCCGGGTTGTGGGTCGGGACCAGGGCTGGCGTCAGGGTCGGACCTCGCGTCGCTGAGCGCGTCCCCTGCCCGAGGAGCCGGGCTTTGGCCGGATTCCGCGGCGCCTCTGCTCTCACCCCTGTGCTCCCTTTCGCGCCAACCCCCTGAGCCCCCTCTTCCGGGGAGACTCCCGGCCCCTTGGGGAGCATTCTTATTTCTTCCCATCCTACCCATGTATCTCTTAGAGCACATCTTCCACTCTACCTGGCAAAGCTGTTTCTGTGATTTTTTTTGCTGCGGTGTCTAGCATGTGGAGAGTGCTTACAAATCTCGGGAGAAAGAAATCATTCTTTTTTTTTTTTTTTTTTTTTATAAACTCCCTCTCCCCAAGTTTCCCTCCACCTGCTCCACTGTGGTCACCACATACTGGATGCTTAATCAGTACCTGTGGGTGAATTGACTGAAGGTGGTTTAGGGGACCTGAAAAGAAGCTATAAAAGAGCAGGTCAGTATTTGCTGATAAACGGCAGAGCATGTCTTGAGATTGGTTGTCTGTAAACTTTTCCCCACTGGCTGGTGAATTCCTGAGTGACGCGGACGGTAGCTTGTTTGCTGGCATATCCTGGGTACGGTACACAGAAGGTGCACGACAAACATTCATTGTTGAATGGAATCCGTCAGGGCTCCTGTAACTCAGGGTGGCAGCGCCCATTTCCATGGTGCACCTGAGTGCAGTGTTGACCTTGGGAACTTGGGCATGCTCTTGGGGAGTTAAGAGTCAGCTCGAACTCGCAGGTGTCCAGGGGCTCAGGCTCCCACTCTTGCCCCATGTTTGTCCTTAAACTTCACTTATCCCACTTTCCAGCAGGTGCAGCGTCTTACACAAACTTTGCTTTGCTTGTTTTTGCTATCTTAGCCTAGCTTACAATGTGTGCCTCTCTCTGTTAAAAACCCTAATCGTGCTTACAGCTCTCTTGAAACCCACCCACATCCCAAGGGCTGCCTTGACTGGCCTCCCCCTCCTCCTAAGCTAGTGCAGCACTTAGACCTGCCCTGGACAGTGTTTGGGGATTCGGACGTGGCTGTGTGGAGAGCCTGGTGGGAGCCGGGCCTTGAGCTGCATCACGCCCGCCCTGTGAAGGGCAGGTAGCGTCCTCTAACCCAGGAGGGGTCAAGTCACTTAGCCAGGAGGTGAGTGGCCAACTACCCCGGTTGCCACCCAGCCTCACACTTTCATTTTCTGTGTTAGGCCCATCTCTTCACTGAAACAGAGCCAGGAAGGAGGCTGGGGGCCATACCTCGTCCTGTGGGTCTTGGTGTGGCCCTGGGCTCACGGTGGCTGCTGTCCCCACCTCCTGGAAGGTCGGAAGGAGGAGGAAGGTTTGGGCAGGAATCGACTTGGCTGGCCAGGTAGCCAGGGTGTGGGGAAGGAGTTCCGTGTTCCCAATCGGGATCCACTGGTCTGCTTTTCTTCCTCAGGTTTTTCCTAATCTAAGGTCAAAATTAACTTCTCTACCTGTGTAAAGATAAATACGTTAATTGTCACCTACTCAATAAAGATGTTAGGACAGTTGACATCTGGAAAGCATTTTCAGATAATATGTGCAGATCCTTGTATGAAAATTCTTCACTGCCCCTGAGTATTGTATTCAAATCTCCCTGTTAGTATTTTAGCTACTGCTAAACCAACTCTGCCTCTTTCATAAATTGAAGCACTGATCCTGCGAAATTCATGTCTCTTTTTGGTTAAAATGATTGCTTACAAGTTTAACTGTCAGCACACTGGAAAAAGCTCCAAAGGTTTTTCCTTTTGAGGATGTAGAAGTTCCAGGAATATTAAATGCAGGATACTCCTAATATTCCACCTGTCTTGTCAGGAAGAAAACCAGCACAGCTGTTAAGTAGTTTGAGGAATGAAAGCTAGCTTAATTAATAGCTAGCTAGTTGTAGCTTGGTCTCAGAGAAGGAGCCTAATATTAGTGTGGGACTGTCTTTTTTTTTTTTTTAAGGTAATAAATACTCTTTATATCTGACCCAGGACACACACATATAGGCAATATTCATCCTTACTACATACAGTGCAGTCTGATATTTTCTTATATGTTTTATTAAAAAAATGCTTATTGCTACCCATTACATTGACTTTATAGTGACCTGCCGCATTTTGAAAACCTCTGGTCTGAGAGAAGCCAGGGCCCTGGTGTGTCTGGAGGTGGGGGGGAACGGAACACATCACCACCCCCAAAGCCTGACTGAGGGGTAGCTGGGAGGTCCAAGGTTGACTGAGGAGAGGAAGGGGTGGGGGGAGAACAAAAGTGCTGTGGCACAGAGCACCCTGTGTCCCAGGAAGTGAGTGACACAGTGGTGAGGAGAAACCCAGGCTGGGAAGTTCCTCTTCTTTCCAAAGTCCACGCTCTCCACTGCCCTGAGCCATCCTCACAAGAGCCCGTTTCCTGTTTGTGCACCTCTTGGGGCCTCCTCGTGGTAGTGAGGCTAAGTCCATATTCCTGATGGCTTCGAAGGCCATCTGCTCAGGCCCGTGCTGACTCCCTGGCCTCATGCTCCTCTTGTCAAACTTCTCTGGCCCCTTGAACAGGACCTAGTTGCACCTTGTGGGACTGTTTCTTTTGCCTGGCACGTGCTTCCTCAATGCCCGCTCCCCCAATTCTTCTCCTGTAAGCTTCTGGTCTTACTTCAGATATGATTTTCTCTGGGAAGTGTTCCCCGACTCCCCGGGGCCTCCTGCACCTGGATTAGGAGGGATCCTGTCCCCCGTTATAGCCCCGCGGGCCCATCGTGTTTACTTGTCGTCACAGCCAGGCTGAGTTCTGTGAGGACCAGGCTGGCTTCTGCCCGGGACGAGGCCTGGCACATGGCAGATGCTCAGTGCTCATTGCATCAGTGGATGAATGACATCCTGGGCGTAGACAGATCCAGGCGGCTCTTAGGGTGGGCAGTGGGCGAGGCCAGGGCACGGGCTGTCCCGTGGGGCGCTGACCATGGCCTCGCTTTATCTTTTTTTTGAAGGTGATCAGGATGACCGGTTTCATGAAGGGCCTCTACACAGAGGCCGAGATGAAGTCCGATAACGTTAAGGTAGGTTTGAGGCTCTGTCCCTGCTCGCCTTCGTGAACAGGGTTTTTGTGAGTGGTGCGCTGTGGTGGCCCCTCGCTCACGGCTGACCTGTGGCTGGCATGCGAGGCTGGTGGCTCTGGGAGTTGCCATGTGCCCTTCCTCACTTCGTGGTCTTTGCGGCAGCTGCCTAGCATGCTAACGTTATCCTGGAGAAATGGAATGAGTGTTCCAAAGGTTAATGATGCTAGCCCACCACCTACAACTAAAAGCTTTACCGAAGATTTTTTTTGGTGGTGGTTGTTATAAAGAGTCAGGATTTCTAAATTTAACACACATCTAAAAATAGCTTTTTATCTAAATGGGAACTGTGCCTGTTGGACATACTGAAGATAATGCAAGCTCTTTTTGAAGTATTTTAATATTTGTGTTTTAAATGGAAATCTTTCAGGATAAAGACGCCAAAATTAGCTTCCTTCAGAAGGCCATAGACGTGGTGGTCATGGTCTCCGGAGAGCCACTGTTGGCAAAACCAGCTCGGATCGTGGCCGGGCACGAGCCTGAAAGGACCAACGAGCTGCTCCAGAGAATCGGAAAGTGCTGTCTCAACAAGGTAGCGCTGCCCCCGAGCTGGAAGCTGCCAGCACGGGAGGGATGACCAGACGCGGAGGGCAGGCCCCCCAGAGGGGCCGCGGTGTTTAAGGGGGGGTTTTAAGCCTGCGCTTGCAGTCTGAGCCCAGCTCTCCTGCAGCCTCAGAGTTGCAGAAGCAGCTTGGAGCTGTACACACTGAAGCAGAAAAGGCAGTGCTGCGCACAGCACCTGCGGGCTGTCAGTATCAAACAGGGCCTTTTGCTCCTGGACACGTGGCTGGAGGCTGCGTGCCCGGCCTGCTGAGCCCTGCGTTCTTTCTCCTTTTGGGCCTCCTTTCAGGGCAGGTGACTGTTTCCAACTGGGTGGCCGGAGGAGCTGCTTTTCTTCATCTTTGGGGCTTGTGGGATGTTCCTGATCTCTGCCCGCCTTTCCAGCCTCTTGGATCCGCTTCCCTCCCTCTTTCCCTATTCCAC